AACATCCTCGGCGCTGGCTAGAGTCCGGCTCAGGGCATTGAGGGCCTGCTGGTTTCGATTCAGTCGTTGCTGAACTAAGACCTTTTCTACAACGAGCCCTGATACGTGAAAGGGCAAATGGACGCTTACGCCAGCAGGTACAAAGCCTTGGTGGAGCGCGAGATGATCAGGGTAGCCGTGTACGACACCGTCACTGCGTGCCTCATCGGCACGTCGACGTTACCACCGACACTGAGAGACGTGGTGCTGAAGAAATTCCTCGAGTGTTACGACCGTTACGATGCCGCGGTGAAATCTAAGCTCCACTTCCGGGCCAAGGAATGGAGGAAAATTTCTACTTTCACAAGGGCGCATTCGAATATGCCGGTCTGCTCACGCGACTCGAGGATCTCAAGCAGAAAGTCGCGGACCGTGTGCGAGGTCAGTGATCCGTGCGTGTTACCGTTACGCTTGCATGTCCTACTTCAAAGGTCACTCTGAAAGGCTTCGTGAATTTTCCGCGCTGATATGATGACAAGCAGCTTCTGGTGCGAGGTGGAGAGCGAGGGTTTTCCTCCTTCAGAGACCCACGATCAAGCATGACATCAAAATTTACCCATTCTACAGTAACTGCCCATTATTGACGTTGTGGAGACACTTGTCGCGGCAAATTCAAAATTATATCGCTTTTGCAGGTTATGGCGTATAATTTTATTAAGGATTATTGCTATTTATTCCGCTGTTTAGTACGTCGCTCTTTACTCGCTTCTATAGTTACAGCCTTCTATAGTTTACAGCCTCTATGGTTTGCAGCCTCTATGGTTTGCAGCCTCTATGGTCTGCAGCCTCTATGGTCTGCAGCCTCTATGGTCTGCAGCCTCTATGGTCTGCAGCCTCTATGGTCTGCAGCCTCTATGGTCTGCAGCCTCTATGGTCTGCAGCCTCTATGGTCTGCAGCCTCTATGGTTTGAAGCCTCTATGGTTTGAAGCCTCTATGGTTCCTTGGCCTTAGTTATAGTGAAGCAGTTTATTCCTGGGTTACTTCTAAGTGGCTGCTAGGCTTTAGCTAGGCTATGCTAGGTTGTTCCTACGTTGATTCTGAATGCAAAAAGGTTTTCGTTTAACCACAGAGTCACAGACTCGACACGGGCCCGTTGTCGTTGGCCTCCCATAGTTTCAGAGTCTTCTAGCATCCGCCGTTGCCTTTCCCGTTCCATAACATTTCCTCGTTGTACATATTCGGGAGCTTCGTCTCACCACCGTCCTTCCCAGCCATTTGTGAGCGAACTGTAGCATTCTTCGTTTTTAGTGGACACGTTTGTGGGTGGTAGGCTTTCACCAATTTATATCACACATGCCCGCTTATTATCATAATAGGGGCTTTTTTTATTATAGTCCACTCGGTGACACGTACTTCATAACAGCCTAAACAGCTACGCACTTAAAGGCCTTTTTCTTTACCCTTTATTCGCTATGTGCAACGACGGATACTAGAGACTTCGAACGCCCCCGCGCGGCCGGAGACTGAAAGGGGTCGCTCCACGCGTTGCAGCTTAAAAACGAAGTATCTAAGAGCTTTCTGTTGTGCATAGTAAACACCACACGCGTCTCAAACAAAGAAGTAACAATTGTGACTGTTGTTAATTTATGCTCCTCCCTTGTATACATGCGCATTTATTGAAGATTCATTTATGTTTGAGCAGCCTAATGCAAGTGTCGAGCTGGGACAGTTGTTGGTTTGTGCTCGTCCGGTATGTGTTCTTTTCGTTCGTCGTCTGCGCTTGAGCGGAACGCTGGAAGTACCCAGTTGCTTCCCGTCATCGAGTGAAATTTAATTTGTTGCTATCACCGTTCAATGCTTCGCTCTTGAAGCAAAACTGGCTTTTCTTACCGATTGGTGTCACGTAGCACGTGATCATTTTACCACCTGACCACGATCAATGATCCGTCGAATAATATCTGAATCATCAATAACATCTGCATCAAGTCTGCCAGAACAAGGCCCTCGCTATGAATAAAGGAAATTGGAAATTTTAAGAACTGTCATTTCTTTATTGAATACAAGTTAATGGGAGCCAACACAATCAAAGCAAGAGAAGCATATGGGACGTTGTTTTAACTAATTACCGAAGGAATGTGTTTTTTCAAGCAGCGAAACGAGTGGCTACAGCTTTATGGGCGTTTCTGTCCTCCCAATGACCACCTGGGCTTTGCAAAATCAGCAAAGCTGCCGTTGTCCGTCGTAGTCAGCTACTGTGTAACAAACGAGAAAGACCCAAGCTTCTAAGAAGAGATTGCCGAAGATTCTACGAAATGGCAGTCGAGGCTGTGCGATAACATGTGGCAATCTTCGCTGAACCCACCTGTTGCGTCCTTGTAAGACGGCCTCCTTCATGCTTAGTTAAAGACGCGGACACTGAGTGACTGTTCTTTTGGTTCCAAACACTTGCGCTTGGGTGCACTTCGTTACGACCACCCCTCTCTTCGACCCCCTCTCTGCCACCTCATTTTCCTTCTTCCGATACAAGAGACCGGTCAAAACAAATGACCCCTAAACACTCCCGAGGGAATTCGCTTAACATGGGTGTCACTAGCAAAAAGAAATAGCGGCGCATCCCCGGGTAGATGGCAAAATGAAAGGCAATTCTGGAACTATTCACCCCATCTTTAGCCCACTGGGAGATTTCGCCTCTCGGACACACCGCTACACCAGCTGATAGGTGTACAAGTCAGGCATTGCGTGCTACGACAACGCGGGCAACCATTCGCACCATGATAACAGTTTTCAAAGCGAGCATTCAGGACCTGGAAACCTTGAGTTCGCCGAGTTCACGTAAGTGCACCGTACTTGGGTTTTTTTGGGAATGTGTGTGTACTCCGCAGACCCGAACGCAAGAGAATCACGCTCGGATAACCAAGCAAAGCGTTTTGGGGGGGGGGGGGGCGTCTTAAGAAGGCACACACTTGCCCCGAAAAATATGTGGACGGAAACAACAGTAACGCGTAGAACAGCTGACGTACGACGCATGCGCTGTGGGGACAACTCGAGGCTATTGCATATACGGAAGCTTCGTGGGAAATCTGTTCGCACACGGACCAATGGCCCCCGTATTTTTCCCGCATTTCTTTCGACCACCACGACTGCAAAAAAAAAAAAAAGAAAGTGCTATCAGCTGCTGAACTTGTTGAACGGAAGGTCAAGAGCTTCACCGTCGAACGTTGTCGGTACGCCGCCGGTACAGCCGTATAAGCTGAAGCAGGTTCGCCATCCGCAGGAATGAAAGAAGGGGGGCACATTTTAGAGCACCGGTGATCCGCCACTCAAAGGGTCACATCGGTAGCTTTATGTAGCGTCTACGATCGCATCCAGTTTGTCTAAGACGTTCATCTTATAAAGAAATGGCTCTTTTATCATAGGATTCGCACCGCGGAAAAACCGCACCTGACAAACACGCGCGTGATTCCTAAGTCAGTCGTACGAAGGATACTTGGAATTACGTAAGTTACGCTTTTCAGCTCGAAAACTTAGTGATGTGCGTACAGCTTGAAGCAATGTTCTGAATGGCAAAAGTGTTCACACAAGTCACGCTGTTAAGCGTTCAAGCGCGCTTGAACGCAGCAGAATGAAACTGCCGAGCTTTAGTAAAAAAAACAACTAGACAAAATGGTATAGCGGACCTTGGATACTTGCGATCATTGGCGCATGTACAGAGAAGGAGGTGGTGACGCCCCAACCGTATCGTATATCACATTTCTCGAGGAGGGGGGGGGGGGCAAATTTACGTTTTACAGTTACTCTGTCGGACCTGTCTCTAATGTTTAAAGTGCAGTGCTACGGCCATGCAGGTTTCTGAGAAGAATAATGGCTGATGACGCCTGATATTTCATTCGAAGATCTGGTTTATTCGAACCTTCACCCCTGGAAATTTAAGGGGCTAAAAAAGGAAATGGTGAGAAAAATGTAATCACTTCGTTTTCATTTTTGTATCCATTGCGTAGCGCACTTTGCGCATGCTTGTTTTCGGCCACCACAGTTCGGCTAGCATGCCCCTAAATATATGCATGTACAGAAAAGACAGTTCTCACATTGCCCTCTTGAAAAAAAAAAGCGCCTGTGCTGTGAATCAAACCAGCTTTAACCCCGGCTACACTACACCCGCAACCTGCTACTTCACTGGACGCAGCAGCATATCCGCTCCTCCTCGAACCTTCCGTGGAGCGAGCTTTCCCTTTGGGTCCATCGAGACGAATGACGCCAATGGACCAGCGAGTAATGTCCCCGTACGCGTCTGCTTTGTTTCTCGTCCGTCAAGTCAGAACGGTTGAATTACCATTAATAATATTTGGGGTTTTACGTCCCAAAACGACGACACAATGTTGAGACGCCGTGGAGGAGGGCTCCGAAAATTTTGACCACCTGGTGGTCTACAACGTGCACTGCTTTCGCACAATACACGGGCCTCTACCATTTCGCCTTCATCTTAATGCGACCGCCACGGCCGGCATCAAAACTTCGGGTAAACAACCGGGCGCCCTAGCCACTGTTCCACCGAGGCGAACGGGTCGAATTACCGTTAGCAATGAACCAACTAGCTCACTTTTATGTAACCGTGTTCGAACCATACGCTCAAGCTAGCATGCTAGCAGCAAGTTTGACACCTGCCTTAAACCTGCGCGTCGGTATCCGCTTGGCCTAAGCAAACTATACCGCGTGCATGTATCTGTTCTCGAGGAGTCAACCAGGATTGTTCGTGAAGCCCAAGCCATCCACTTTACATTTTCGCCAGCGCTCCGCGTATGCCTCTTCCGATATCATTGACACGACACTGATTCAACTCGGACACAACGCAGGCCCTACAAAGCGCACTCAACCGCGCACTAACACACACACGGGTAATCCTTCCAGCAATAGAAAAAAAAACAATATGAATCTTTGTCCCAGTCCCGTCAAACATTTTTCTAATTACTTAATCAGTTGGCATTGTCGATGTATAACCGCCAGGCCTGTTCGATATACTCACCTGAACGAAGACCTTTGTGTAGCTGACGAAGACCCCGTGAACGGTGAAGTTGAAGCCAGTGCCATTGACCTCAGAGTTCAGGTACACTTTCGATAGGTCGACTGTGGCCACACTTGTGTCGGCGCTCGCCAGGGACACCGTACGATTTCTGGGTGTCGTGAACGTCAGCTGTACGACTACGTCTTCGTTCTCTTGCACGTCAACACGGTGCGGAGGCGTGAAAATCAAGACGTCAGTGTCGTTCCAAATGCGGTCCTTGTCCTGGACGGTGCCGCCCTTAGAGTCTAGTCTCGCGGCCGAACTCCCTTGCCCTTCTGTATTGATGCCAGAGGCCCGAACCAGCATAAGGGTCCAGGACAGGCCACACAGGACCAAGGATACGAGAAATCGGTTGACGTGCATCCTGAGAGAAATCGAGTAGATTCACCCCCCGGCGGCCGGAGGGATACTAGAGGCGCGATGCTCTGGAACCGTCTGCAAGAAAAATGGACGGTAGGGGGAGACACGAGTACATATATCAATAGGCTTTATCGGCAGCTCGATAACAATGGACTTCAAGGGGGGTAAGCCATACAAGAAGAAGAAGCGTACGTCGGCTGGGGTTATCGCGAAGCGATTGTAGCCAGTGCGGGCACACGCGTTTCTACATAACTTTGCACTCGAAAAAAAAACTCCAAGATACTTGGGAAGGGAGGGGGGTGAATGGCTTAACTGCGGCGAGTGCTTATAGTCCTCGATGGTCGACGTATGCTGCATCATCTGTCAGTGACGTCACCGTGCCCCGCATCGAAGGCAACACGTAACCTTTCGTGCAACCGATATACTTGTGTTCGATAGTTGTCGTGAGATAACTGGAGTCTAGCTTCATCTCGGCAGTGATATTCCGTGCACCTTTTTTTTGCTATCCTTTATTCATCTGTTCTCGTGACTTCTGTTTTTCATATGAACACGTAGCAAAGCCATCAAAATGAGTCATATGCAGTCCACAGGAATGGAACGTGTCGTCTCTCGCAAAGATGCCCACTGCAATGGCCCCTTGATAACCACGCGAAGTTTTCAGAAACTGTGCCACTCTTAAAAACAACCTGTTTGCACGTCAGGATTGGTTGTCTAAGGTGTTTGCTAAAGCTTGAGCTAGTCCTGCTGCCTAGGACGGCAATAGATGGCGTTCGAATCGACATCCACTGCCCGCTCTGGTCCCGCGACCTGCATGGCTGCTGACTACTATTACTACTACTACTGCTATTACTACTACTACTATTACTACTACTACTACTGCTGCTGCTACGACTACTACTACTTCTACTACGACAACGATGACTACAGCTTAAGAGTAGCCGTCATAAGCCATAATTCGCTGTACAAGAAAACAAATAGGAAAACTGGAAAACCGTGTGCAAGCGCTACTTTCCTATTCTTGTGCAGTCGCCTTCCAGTACTATCACCCTGCCCGTCCGCACTCCGCTTTGACTATCTTCGATGCACTTCGCCTCGTTTAGTTAGATACTACACTGCTATAGCCAAAGTTGATAACCGTCGAACACTCTTCTCGTGCGTGAAATACTATCGAGCACCGTAAGAATGACACGGCCCGGAACAACCCGTGACGTCTCCCCTTTCCGGCGCACTGCAAGCATGCGTTTTTATTTTGAAGCGCCTGAGTGGCGTGTCATGTCGCCCTCGATGCAGTGGCAAATCGGGTCGTAAATATATGAGTACTGATTCCCCACGAAGAGCAGACAATGATCACCGTCCAAAACGGAAGTCCGCGATACCTGGATGACCTTATCCGGCGGAGTGTACTTTCCCTTCAGTCGTTTGTTGTACGAGTGTACATTATCCATAACCTTATCGACATGAGTATTCAACGAAAGGAGGTCGCGAGTGCTCTGCGATAACACGTGTGTAGCGAAAATATTTATACTCGCACCAAGTTTTTCTCGCTTTGAATTGTGTTAAGAGTGGGTAGAAGGTGGGATTCGGTTGCTTTAGTTATTGAACTGATAACCCTGTTTTATCGTGATCGTGTCAGACTCGGCAAACAAAATCGCAGTTACGGATACGGTTGCCACTCATTCCAATGCGAGGCAAACTTTGAACCACTGCACGATACAAGGCATAATATTTCGCAGGGGTCCTTTTTTTACGGATAGTGCTGCTGTGTGGGCCCATTACAGCAGAGTAGCTAGAGCAGTCGAATTTCCATGAATTTCAAAGATGTGCGAAAAAATGCCGCGTGTACAGCATGGTCAAGTCAAAAGCGACCGCCTAGTCTGTACTGTGTGTTCATCGTCTACGTCCCTGTCATGCCTCCGATTTCTTCAAGCACACGGAACCGCACATGCTGCTTAAGAACACGTTTAAAAGGGCCATGCAACGCATTTTCAGCATAGTCAGCAAATGCTGCCGATAGGTAGCCGAAACTGCCAAGAACACGCGAGCCAAATGTTATATACACAGCACGCTGCCTGGAATTCACAATAAGTTCTGAAAGTCAGCTAAAAACTTATTTCTCTTCATTCTTTCGACAAATGAAGCTACAAGCTCAAAAACGCTCGTCCCAGTCATTGTATCAGTCATTGGCTGAGATGAAAAGTCTCAAGCTTCCCGAAGAGAGCGTGATGTATTTTCGTTCCCTAATGTCATCCCTTCTGTTTAGCTTCTAGTGCATTCGTCGGGATGAAAGAAGAGATAACGCAGTTGCAGCTTGCGACATATCTTTGTAACACCGCTCGTACTGAACGGATTTTTTGCGGTGATGAATTTGTGAGGCTATAAGTTCCTCGAATGAATGAATCGCATGGCTCCTTGAAAAAAATGTTGCAGGGCCCCTCTAAGTCATGGTAATGATTTATATGGCTGTACGTGCCGAAGTGATGTTTCGAGTAGCGTCGAAGCTTCTATAGCGGGGTGTTTTTCTCGCGACTTTCTTCATAATTCATATTTGTTGGTGTTTGCATACCAAGACCACGATGTGAATGTAAAAAAAGGTTGCAAGGGAGAGATGCAGAAATTTCGACTACCTGGGGTTCTTTAACGTGCACCTAAATCTGCAGCACACGGCCCTCAAGCATCTTGGCCTCTATCTAAAACGCGGTCACCGCGGCTGGGATCCCATGACCTTTGCGCCAGCTGTCAGCATCATGCATGACCGCAAGACCGCCGTTTCGACTTGACAATTACAGCATAAGGCCCGTTTGCATAGATTTAGGTGTACGTCAAACAACCCCATATGGTCGAAATCTCCGGAGCCCTTCACTACGGCGTCTCTCATAATCATTGATGGTTTTGGGACGTTAAACCTCAAGAATTATTGTAATAACATTAAAAATAGAGCACAAGTAAATATCAAAGCGATACCATTAGAGCGCAGGCGTTCAAGCGAGAGATAAAAAAAAAGATATGACACGATGAGCACTGCTAGTGTTGATATTGTCACATAATCTTATACATCGCGTCAACGATATGCAGCTTTTTTTTTCTTTGCGATTAAGTCTACTATCTAGCAACCAATCTGTGCGAAATCAAGCTGAAGGATACGTTCCAACAAGCGTCATCCTTGCAGAACATTGCATCAGGTTCACTTTGCCATCACCAAAACTACACAAGAACTTTATTAAACGCCAAATTTGGGCAACTACGTCTGCAAAGGAGCATACGGGTGTTTTGTTTTTTTTTTTTTTTGAGCTTTCTATATATCGGTATGGCAGCGGCACTGACAGCACCAATGTCAGGCGCCCCATCAGCCTTATCGGCAGTGCTATCCCATAGAGCTTCCTGAAAGCTTAGATTTTGTCTTGTATCGTAAAGTCAGATATCCCTGCATGTATTCGCGTTCTGGCTATACAACAAAAAAAGAACAACAGCAGAAAAGACTCCACAATACGCATATCTCCGAGTTACGCAAGTGTTGACAGTTTAAGTGGTCCGCACTAGCCCGTAACAAAGAACCTACTTATAGCGAGCCTGCAGCCCACGTGGTCTCCGTGGTCTTGGCATCGTATCAGAGGGGAGGAGACTGCACTCGAATTCAGGAGTGTCGTCAGGCGTCGCGAAGTCCGCTGCGGAAGAGACGACGGAAGACTCACCTCTACCGTTTTAGTGCCCAGGTGTGGTAAGATATTTGGGCACGTCCGCAGGCAATCCGGCCGCAGGGCTGTCATACTTCGTTTCAATTTCCTTCGCTGTCTCACAGGCCGAACACACGAGCATATATAGTAAAACACAGCAGGAAACAGTGAGCATTATGGACACAAGCACGAAAAAGATTGTAAGAACAATGCTGGCGTAGTTCTGCACGTATCTATACGTGCGTGACTTCACGGAAGAAAACTTGACGCACTGCCTTGAAGTCGGTGCTGGAACAATTTGCCACTGGCCAGCCCAGCTAGCCATCTGAGGCGGCCTTGACGTAATCACACGAGGTGAAGAGAAAAAGCGCTCTTTGACGTGGCTATGCGACGAAATGCTATAGTATACCACCTACTCAATCCTCCGAGCGGAGGTGTATCAGCTTTCAAGCAAGCATTGTCTGCGGGAATCCCTCCTGTCTTCGCAATTTCGTCTGTTCTGCACGCGTTGAGCGATGAATCACTTCCGTGAGATCTTGTCCCTCGCATTCTACGGAAGGCGAAAGCCTAATAAGCCTCATCAAACGTGAAATTGACCGGTGGCGGTGTCAACGTGAGTGATGCAAAAACATTTGTGTAAAAAAGTGCAAACTTCACTAAAATAATTGTTCCACAATTCTTCGTCTTCTGCAAACCATATCCGCGAGCCGTCACATATTTCGTTAGAATTTCCCTTACGCACTTCTTTAAAGATGTTGATAACCTTTTTTTGGAATACTTGAATGCAGAAATATCGGTCTGTCTGTCTTTCTGTCTGTTAGTCTATCACAGAATCCAGCCACCCGCCCAAAGTTTAGGCACCTGCCGAACGCCCAGCCATCTTGAACTAGTGGCTGCGTTCATGCTTGTGAACTTTGCCGATCAAGAAGCACATATTACGCATATGTGAACGCAACATCAACACGTAAGTATTAGGTTGTGTATTTCTTTGCTATCAAATACACAGATCTATAATCCTAAAGACCCTAGTGTTTCTTAGGCCACGTTGAAAATGTGATTTCATGCACGAAAAAGTCCTCTTCCCATGATATGGTGCTGCCACCTGGCAGGATGCAAATGGTGCAAGAACAGGATCACAGTGGCCGTGGAGGAGATCAGGACTCATGTACCGGCAGAAGAATATCGCCGTGACACTTGCAGCGAAGCGTGCAGATTCGCCACCAATTTTTTCTTACTGTTTTATTGTTTCACTAATAGTAGCGATATTAATTACACGCTATTCGCAATGCCCACGGCCTATAGATGGCGCGCCATGCAATTCAATATGGCTGTGGAAGGATGATCAACCCGTGAACTCGCATTAGAAAAGATAGGACGCGCGGACGTACACCACA